TTTATGCTTCAAAGCGTTTAATACAACACTCTTTTATAGTTCTTAAATTAAAAACACAATCAAAACTCAAAACTTTCTTAGTTTGTTTACATTAACAAGTTTGATATATCTTTATATTATATTATCATTAGTTATATGTATATTATATTTTGAAGATTATCTTAAATGTTATAAATTTATGAAGTTATTTAATAATATACATTTTTTGTAAAAACAAACTTTTCTGTGTACCTTAATATATAATGTACAGGGCAAATATAAACAAATAAGAAACTCACCAGAGTTTAAATAATTTGGGGTTTTAGTTTTGTAACAAAGAAGTTGTAAGAGTTTTTGACCAAAAATAATTAGTGCAAATAGCAAAAATATTTTGAAAATTATATCATGTTAAAAAAATGCTAATATAAAATACATATGTATTAGGTGAAAATTTCAAACTCTAAGGTTAAGAAAAAAACCTCGTTAAACCTCACTGGCTCAGCTCAGAATCTTAAATGAATAAAATTATGTTTTAATCAAATAAAATATTTAATAAATGTCTAAAATGATCTTTACATACAATTAGTAATAGACTTATAGGTAGTAGTTATAAGTATCTATCAGTGACGTAGCAAGGGAGTGGCTAAGGTATAAAGTACCTAATTACATTTCGGAGTTTCAGGTGTACGTTTTTTGGGACGCAAGTATAGTTTGCAACCATTTTAACAAAGATATTGCGATCAGAGTTTGTGCTGTATGGTATTATCGCATGGAAACAACAAATTAATGTAAAAAAATAATATCATGATACGTCTTTGCTAATTTAATTTGAAGTTCTGTTGTTAATAATAGCGTATTTTGTAGGTACCTAGCATAGTATAGTGTATACTGTATATCATATAATTTGAATAATATTGTGTACCTACCTACGATAATCATGTAATSTATATATTGTGTAAAATTTTTATCAATAACTCGTATTATTCTCACTGGATTATTACTAAGCCTCGTTTGGTGTTTATTAAATTTTCAGCGAATCATTAATTATCGACAAAAAGTTTTTGTAACTAAACTTAAAATATCTATGAAAAAATGATGATGTAGTTTTTAGATATTTTGGTTTTAAAATTACCACTTCTGAGGAACCTTATATTAAATTTCAAGCCGTAGGTATGAATATCACATTTTTAACTAATTTTTAACTACAAAATATAATTGATAATTTTTGAGGAATCTTAAGAAACTTGTCTACTACACTCTTACGGATTATAAGAGTAACAATTTACGCTATGATCGTCTTACCCTCGAACACCACCTCGCTAAAGAGTAAAGACAATGACTGTTAGTTTTAATGTAATGTATGATTGTTAATTTAACATGCCGTAATATTAAATATACTTAATAAAATATAATGTTGCTTTAGCACATTTTGGTTCTTTGACCTGATCTAAAATAATTACTTACTAGCAAAAATGTATTCCCACACACAAACACCACTAAATAMCAGGGGATCAATTTGACTATCTAGAAAAGTGTTTATCTATAATATTGTTACAAAACGCAACAAATAAATAATTTTTTTTTATAATTTTGTATAAATCTAGTTTTGTGTATAAGTGTTTCTTTTTCCTAAACCTTTGTTATTTACTAGAAAAAATATTTTAATTTGTAAATCAAAGAATTTAAATTGCTCCAAAAGATGGTTATAGACACCAAAAAAAAACACACATCATTGTAAAATCAATACATTCATCGCTCCACTCAGTAACTAAAACATTATATTATCATAATATTTGATATAATAATTATATGTTTTTATATTTTAAGTCTAAAATCATTTAGAATAATAACGATACATTTACTAAATTATATTATTTGACATGTATAATTATAAGAATAGAAACATAATTGACTGTATCTTTAGCACCTAACTCAAATAGGTCTGTGTATATGTGTTGGTTCATTTGAAAGCTGTACTGATAGATTTATAATTTTAATACGATTTCCGAAAATAAAAGCTTTTGCAAAATAATCTTTACCGCTGCTGTAGTCACCGCCCCGCCGTTTTCATTTACTATCATAATTTTTCCTATCCCTGGTCGATTCCAAACTTCTTAGTTCTTTGTGCCATTAATTCTCATTTCAGAGTACCAACAAAGCTTGCACACGCATACCCGCCCACCATGACTTTTCCACCTGATCGCATCTGCTCACAAAATTACGTGTATAGGAGCACTGTGTGTATATACTGTATATACATATATATAGTATACATCACTTGTGGTGTTATTATAGTTATGGTATATTCCAACCTGAACACAATTCGCGTCAAGTCATCCCAACCTAGCTATACACACCCTCCACCCGCCGAGCCGAAACACGCCACACGCATCTCTCCGTCCCCTCAACAGCCCTCCCTATCGTCACAACAGCACCTACCTCCCCTAGTCCCCTAACGACCGTCGCACTTTTCCCGTCCCTAATGGTGCCCCGGTAGATCTCATAAATATTTCCATTAAACTGAGTGAAATTGGTTTTTTCGCAATAACGCAGCGCCCGTATATATATTTTATATATTTATTTATTATACGCGAACGAAATGCAAGACGAGATACGACGGTCGTATATACAACGACGCGGGGCATGCATTCAAAATGAGATGCAGAAGAAGGGAAAGATAAAAAATCGAAAGCATTGTACGCGGTGGTTATATTATTATCGCCCACCGTTTTAAATCTACCCCCGTAAACTGCCAACTGTGGTTTGGCGAGGAGGGCTGGGGAGATGGTTTTTGGCGTTTAACGCAGGCAGTGTCTATAAATTTAAAAATACATATATTTAAGTATATTTATAAACCTTAAGCGTGATCGTGATGTATTAGATCAATAGTGGCGTTGGGATAGAGAGTGAGATATGATTTTCAAAAATGTTGTTTGTATCTATATATTTTTCTTTTTTGTAATTTTGTGTAGTGTATAACATAATAATAGGTTAGGTGAGACTACGAAAAACAATTCTAAGAAAATAAGGTATGTCAGCCTATATTGCTAGGTTTAATTTATTATATCATTACCTACTATTAAAGAAATTCGTTTTACTATTATACATTATTAAATGTTATGTTGTCTATAAAATATGGTATTATTTTAAAATTTCAAGTACCAACGAATAATATTTTTAAATTACTACAAGATAGATAAAATTATCAATGTTCGTTTAAGCATCTATTTTCGACCAAAATTAAACTCATAATATTTAATAAAAAACTGTGTCTATATAATATTATTTAGATCTAAATAAATAAAATCAATTCTAATGAAAACTGGTTTTGCATACAAATTCCAGTTTTTTCTTAATCTTTTATTGTTTTTCTCTACACTTATGAAAMCTTATGAAAACTTTACTTTTGATCAACCATTCCATCTTTCCTCCCTAAAGTACCTATTTAAGTTCACATCCCAACCACAATAGATACTGAAATAGAAAATGAAAGTATTTTTATTGCCTCAAAAAATAATGATGATTGGTATAATGGTATTCAAGAAAAAAACGTGAAAACTCTCAAGTAAATACATTTATCGCTCAGCTCAGAATCTAAAAACTGTCAACATAAAAATATTATGTATCTATAATGCACCGCCGAGTATAACTAGTTATTGGAGTGGTCAAAGATTTAAAAATAAAGGTCAACAGGTTGATAAAAATATGAAAATGAGCCTTTCCCAACCGTTTGTCGCTAAACAGTGGATTCCCCGACGTAAAAAAAACACTTTTAAAACTTTAAATGAACTAACGATAAAAATAATAAAACTCGTCTGGTAGCTTGGTTCGTTAATTATTATTTTAGCCAGAAATAAATTTAAGTTATTTACATCCCACTCTGCGCCCCCACAACAAGTATCATTGGTCCCTTATTCTCAATTACTTTATTTCTTTTTTTCTCTCTCGCCGTAAGTATCTTAATGAAACCTACCCTAATGATGAACGGATTAAGCACTGTCTCGAATCTTTTTATGCAAGTTTTCACCCTCTTTATAAGCGTTCCCACCGTAGTTCTATAATGCCAATGATTTTATTCATAAAATATAATTATAATCACCGCTGTTTATATTATTTGCTTTTATTTACAATTGCTTAATAAAGAACCTATGTGTATTATTCTTTTATTATTTAAAAAAATCTTTTTACGAGGTAAATAAATAAAGAGAAATCAACAATACGGTTTCGTACTAAATAAAATGTCAAAAACCTTAAAATACTATTATTTTATTGAAAACATATTTTAATAGTACAGTGGTGTAATGTATGTCAATAGTTTTTTAGTGTATCAATATTTTATGTTTGATTATAATATTGATGTAATTAAGTAAAAAGTATGTACAAGTAAAAACAGAAAAACTTTAGAACTTTAGAAGCGACAAACAAGTATATACGAAAATATTTAGTATAACTATGCTAGTGGGATGAGTCTTCTTAAAACGTGACAAATAATAATAATCAATGATAATTTTATTCCTAATTTAATATATATATACTATTATACTTAAAAGTTATAAATTAGAATACTATGAAGCAGTATAATATTACTGTTGTATAATTATATATATATATCTGCCGCGGGGATGAAGCCCACAAGCTGGGGACTATATATTATATTATATAATAATACATATGATTAATAATAATATATTATGTAGGTAACTATATTTAAGTGTTATTGTAAGACGGGCATCGGGCTCTCTACCACAGAATTCTAAAATTGTTTAATCCAGTTAAAAGCACTACGCCACCGCTATGGTATGTGCGAGTTGGAAAAGTTGTCGGTTTTTGTGGAAAAAATTTCTGCGAAACATTGGCAGCAATAGCGACATCAACAAACGCTTTTAGCTTATTGAACTGAAACTTGAGTTATTATTTTTTTTGCGCTCCCTCGCCATGTTTTGATATATATATATATATATATATATATATATATTTATATACATTTATAAATTTGAGGAGAAGGAAGAGAGAAAACTTACATGTATAGTTATTGGCCCGAAAATGGCTTCGGTTAACGTTTCCAAGGAGACCACGACGTGCAAGCGCCTCCGTCGTTCCGCCTGCGACTGACGCTCACCCGTCCGCCCAGCACACCACCACTCATGTCAATTTCGTGCCGTTTGCGCTTCATTTCTTTCCACCACTACGCGGGGCTGCTCGGGGCTCCAAGAATATTTCCATAATACCAATGGCTATAAAAAGAGAAGAAAAATATTACCCGTTGGAGAGAACATTCATTTCCATCAACGTGACATTGCAACGTTGCATATTGTAATATTATATTATATTCTCTGTGAAAAAGATCCTATTAGATATAAATGAAAATGAACATAAAAGTTAATTTAAATAAAATAAATAACGTGTTTCCCCGACGTCAGAAGTTAGAAGATCATGTGATGCTAGAAAAATTGTTAAACGTGCATGTATACAAATTATTTTATTAAATTATTATACTTCCGTGGCTAGATTAGTTCAGTCTCGCGATTAATGACTCTATTCGAGTTGAATAGAATAATAAAAAATTAAAAGTTACATATAATGCAAGCCATAATCCATTTAAGTGCCTACCTAAATTCATTAGTTTGAAAAGTTTTAACATTTTTTAAAATATAATTTTTACATAATTCGATGTCATTACAAATCACCAGTTTTTTATATCATTATTATTTTTCACTTTTTGGTTTTGTTTTATATTTTTTAATGATTACACATACATTGCAGTTTAGAAACTGAAAGTAAAAATACTAAAATTAAGTTTCAAATCGACGTATTTTTCAACATTTTTATTTCAAATGCTTATAATAAAATTATGCATATATTTTTATCTTTGATATTTTTAAATTGCTATAACACCAAACTACGAGAAACCTAGTATTTACTATAGCTTTTAGACAGAGTGAAATTTATTTTAATGAAAATTATTAAAAAAATCTCAAATCTCAAATGTCTATATTAATAGTTGAAAAATATTTATTTTTTGAATATACCATCATATTCCAGTATACGATGCTAATTTATGCATTTTGTAACAATTTAAATTATCTGATTGTAATTTTTCTAAGTACATTTTTAAATTTTATGCGTAGATATCAAAATACTTAGAAAAGTATTCTGATTTAGATTATGAAAAAATCAAAAATGTGTATGTTGTCTTTAAAAAATATAACAAATAAAAACAAAATTAGGGATACATATTTTAATTTAAAATGTAGTCAATAACGATATTTCAGACGATATTGCCAGTTAAGCAATAAAAATATTAATGAAAAAGTTAAAAGTTTACTAAGTTAATTATTCTGTACCCTTTTTACCATAAATGATGTATTTATTAGCGTACAAAGTAAAGGTGTTATAGGTATACTTATATTTTAATAATTAAATGAGTTATATACATATATTTAATTTGTTAAGAAGCATCGGAAAGTTGAGCGATTTACAATGTTTAGCAGCATGCAACAGTAACTACTTTAAGTTCTTGGTTAGTTTTTGAAATACATTGAAACAATTTACATATTATATTATCAGTTATGATGACTCATGCAAATAATGCATAATTGAAATTTTACAGCAAAGCACTAGACTGTTTTATTAATGTATATTCAATTTGGTGTAATGATATATATTTTATCAATTGTTAGTGATCTATTTCACCTATAGGTATTTTTATTCAAAAAATAAAGACAATATTTATAAAATTGTGGATTTTCATATTTAATGGTATTTTCCATCAGTTTAAAGTAATTAAGCCCATACTCCATGGGCGTGTCTCAGTATATGGAAAACTGTATTACAGACTACAGTCTAGTTTGTCTACAGTGGTTAATATTGTTATTAGCAGGGCTGTGAATTTAATGCATTTGCATGTTTTTTTTGCTACACTTTATAAAAAAATGGATTCGGTCAAAATTTGTTTTGACTTATTTGTAATTCAAATACTAAATTTTATTTTGCATATTTTCGCATATTTCATGGGTTAGGGCATACAAATGCATGTTTTAATAATATTTTTGTTTAAATGTTTTTTTTTCGTAATATTTACATTTTTTCRGTCAATCTTATAGTAGGTATAAACTATAACTTTTATAGTTTTATCGAAATAATTCTATTTTTACTCGGGTGTTTAATGTATAATATTATTGACTACCTATTGTACTATTGAAGTCGAGATTAAATTAATTTGCTGATATCAACTCGACGAAGACCAAGACTAGTTAAGATCAATAACTCATATACTCATATCAAGAAGTAAAAATACTAATATTTAAACTAAAATTAATAAAAAAAACATTTACTAATGAAAAAAATAAAAATAAAAATTTAATTTTTGTAGTTTTTTTAGCATATTTTAAGAATTTTTAGAACATATTTTGTCAGATTTTAGTGCATACATGCATGCATATTTAATAGTTTTTAAGTGCATTAAATTCACAGCCCTGGTTATTAGGAAATGAAACATATTTACAATTTTTAAAAGCGTCACCATGTACCATTAAAATTTACTTTTTCCCCTTACGTGGTTACAGTTTACACGCACCATCATATTATATGTAATTTCTGTTATAAACTGCACTGGTGATATTAAACATTATCATGCAAGTCGTGCTCACCAGTGTACACTTGTGCAGTCAGATTTATAACACTAATATATACATCACTTCAACTTTGTATGATAGTATGTAAAGTTTTATTTGAAATAATTAACTTATAGTATACAACTTTTTGTAAATTTTGAGGACATTTTAACTAAAATCCTAAAATTTAAAACAATTTAGGTTGGCTAATATAATTCATAATATAATATAAAATACATTTTTATTTTAACGAGATTTTAACATACGAATATAGGCAAATTGTTATATATTATTATCGTCTATTACAAATATAATATAATCGTATCACATAATAATTTACAGATAGTAAATAAAAAATAGTGTTGAATAACTTAGCTGTGGTCTAACATTTTGCTGTGTACCACTTCACTCCGTTCATCTAAACTTAAAATGCTGTTGATTTATAATTTAAGATGTCGAATTTAAGACGAGTAGTTTATAACTTATAAACTACTCGTCTTAAATTCGATTTTTGTTTATTGAAATACTACGAAAAATGCTCTGCTTTGAAATATGAAATAAAAACTGTACGTTGTCATTTAAAATAGTAAAAAACTTGGAAAAATTTGAAAATAAAAAATAAATATTTTTTTATAGTTAGAAAATATGCATTTTTTCCAAAAATATAATTCCTTTTAAAATAACGAATGTTCAATGATAGAAGAATCATCCATGGTGGTCGGCAGTGTATAGTGTATAATGTATATTACAAACACGGTATCTTTAATAATTGATCATAAGATCATAAAAGGTATAATCTATTCGATTCTATTTGCAAAATTGCTCATTCGCACTACTACGCATAGTGCATACAATAAACCTATTCAATTTTATTAATTCATCATATCATCTTATAGTATAATATATAAATACGTTTGGATAACGATAAAGTTTATATTATATATTTTAGTGTTAAAATTATACGGTGTTTGTTTTTAGTAAAAAATATAATGACTATAAATGAAAACATTATTATATTTGACCTCATAAATTCATAATTTTCTTTTAAAAATCAAACAACTGCGTATTAATACGTGTTTACGTTTAGATATATAGTGGGTAATATTTTAACTGGATGTATAATGTATATTTAATCGAACATACTCGTAAATAATAAGTATAAAACATATTTCTAATTTATACATTATGAATTTACGATACATACGGCGGTAAACGATAAGGACCAATTATTATGTTTTTATAGCTTATTTTGTAGATTTACCTAATACTTTTTTTCRGAGAAAATTATACTATATTTTTAGTAGAGTATTTTTTTTTTGTTTTACATTATACCCTGCAGACCCCTAGCTTAATTTAAAATTTCTATACAATAAATATGTGTAATTTGTGTTTGACTTTTTATTAAAAAATGACTGCAGTAAACAATGTATCGTGCTTTCTCCGTGGCCAATTATCTACGTATTAACCAACAACTGCATAATATAAATAAACCTATTCTCTCCAGCTTAACAAGATGCTTAATTTCAGTCCAAAATTCTTTCCATCTAATTGGGGATAATATTTATATTATTTAAAATAAACCCGCAGCTGGTTATTTTTGTTTCTTTCCAAACTTAACATTTGCATTTTCTTTAACAACCATACACACACCGCATCATATCATTAAATTAAGTAGGTATTCATTTTTTAAACAAGATTTTAATTTTCGAAATATTATTATAAATATACGAACTTTAATAATGATATTTTTTATTCTTAATTCATTACATAATACAACGTAGGGTTTTTCAACAAGGAGAGCTAGTATGATGGGATTCTGTGAATACGTTTCAGTTACACATCATAATATAATAATATACCTACAGTATACATTTTTGTATAGTTGTACATATTCAATTTGTGTTTTCAACGTGATTATACTAATGAGTAGGATTTGAATTAAAATAATCTACGATAAGTTTAATTTAATAGTACCAAATTTTATATAGGTATGCATATTTAAATGAGTCGTATAAATGAGTAATATCACTATTTGATTTATATTTTACATTTAAATAGTAGGTTAATTCTGATTGATATTTTATAATTTTAAGTGCATGTACCTATATACTTAAATCTAGTCATAAGCACATACATTTTTCACTTAAGATTTGTATATGCGTATCCATTGACTTTAATCCGTAAGCCTATTCATTTTATTATATGATGATGTACTGTGTACATGTAGCTATACTTTAATCTATTTTATTTTAAATAGCTATACCATAGTCTTGTATATTTAAATATGGAAATTGAACTTTTTTTTCGCAGGTAATTAAAGATATTATTAACGTAATAACGTAATACGTATATTATTTAGAAATGTACCTATAATACATATATAATTATATATAATACGTACAGGACGGTATAAACTATTACAATAGTAATATGTTATTATTTATTTACTTGCTTTAAAATCATAATAATTAAAGTACCTAATTCTAAGATTCTTTTATAAAAGCAAACTGCAACACACACTAATTAAGAATAAAATATAAATTTTTACTGGCAAAAATAACATTCACTCTTTTCTGTTTATAATAATTGTAATTATGTATTACTGTATTGTGTATTAGTGT